TGGATGACTTGGTGAAGTTAGATCCAACAGCTTTTGCAAGAGACCAAAAGGACCTAGAACTACTTGAACAATTCAGCAACCTGCTTTTTATTCTTTGATTGTATGTTTCTTTAGCGGAGTCAATAGTAATTTTGCAATTATTTCTGGCTTCTATAAATTCTGTGTGGTTTTGAGCGGTTTGTTGTCGTTTCCAAAGGTTATATGCTCTGTGTTTTTTCTGTACAGCCGTTTGACACTGGCTGTTGAACCAAGGTTTTGCATTAGCTCTACGTTTAGTTGTATGTGGGATATATGCATCCATTCCAGATAAGATTACTTGTGTTATTTCATTACAGCAAATAGTGGGATCAGCTGTTTTAAAGCAAACCTCTTGCCATGGAAAATCCAGGTAAAACTGTTTTAAGTCATTCCATTTTGCCGATTTATAGTGCCACATTTTACGAGGAAGAGGTTGCTGGCTTGGTGGGATGAGCATTTCGCACTTTGTTATTATAAGTTTATGATCGGACGAACCAAGTGGAGCATCCACTTGAATTGTGTACGAGTCAGGATTTGTGGTTAGGAACAAGTCTAAAAGCGCTGCAAATTCGCCCCTTTCTGAGATACGGGTAGGTTCATCGACAAGCTGCGTTAGACCACAACTTATGGCAAAAGCTTCTGCTTCTCTGCCTTCGTTATCTGTTTTGTTGTGGTGTTTCAGCCAGGGTATATTGTGGACGTTGAAATCGCCTAAAAAGACAATTTCCGCCTGTGGATAGTTTGACTGTATACTATCACAGCTTTCGGATAATGTCGCGAAAAAGTTTTGGTACTCGGTGTTAGATGGCGGTCGGTAGAGGCAGCAGATAAACTTGGTCGATGACTTTGAGGTGAATTTTAGCCATATGATATCAAGGTTCGCTGGTTCTAGCTTCTCCTCTCGATGACATGAAAGGTCATTTTTAATGTACACACAGATCCCAAAATTATGTCGAAATTGGTGGTGTAGGTCATAGCCGGGATAAAGATAGTTCACAGTAGGTGTTGCAGAACTGATTTTAGTTTCAGTGAGAACAAGGATGTCAGGTCTTTGTTCTTCAAGATGTTGGTGAACTGAATTCATATTTGTACTTATTCCTCTTATATTGCTAAAATCAATTCTGAGTTGAGTTTTTGATCTTCTCTTTATATCTTTGCATGAAGGATCCCCAGGATCACCCGACGCCCGGAGATCCGAGTGGTCGGGTATTTTACCTCCGGAATATTTTGATCCTGGAGGCGCCATCATGCTATCTGTTACTCATTGTTGGAACCGGATTGCCAGCGCAGTAGCGGAACGTGGTGATACCACTTAGCGCTACTCAATTCTGGCATGGTGGTATCTCACCGGTCGACGCCCAATGAGTAAAAAGCGTCTACCACCTGTATGTTCCTGGCTTATCAAAACTGAAGAACACTGGCCTTTTTCATCCTTCAACTTCAATAAGGATATGTCTGAGCACAAAAACCTTTTGACAACCCACTCCGCTATAAATACCCAGGATAATAGTTTGTTGACTTTGATAGAAAAGCATTCTAGATTAACTAAACTATGTCGAGTTTTCGCTTACCTTTTACGATTCCGAAATAATCTTATCACAAAAAATTGTCGCCTTATTGGTCCGTTAACAGCAAGCGAAATTACTAAATCCCTTTTTACATTAAGCAAATTAGTGCAAATGAAGTATTTTCCTGAAGAATATAAAGCATTATTTGAGAAAAGGAACATTTCGCACAGATCTAAGTTATTGAAGTTAAGCCCATTTTTTGATAAGACTGATAACATCATAAGAGTGGGCGGTAGGCTACAAAATTCCGAATTTGATTTTAATAAAAAACACCCAGTTCTTCTACCTTCCAAAAATCATTTTTCGCTTATAATTGCGCGCCAGGAGCATCTTAATTTACATCACGCCGGTCCTCAAGCAACCCTCGCATCCCTGCGTGAAAGATTCTGGCCCATAGATGGCAGGAATCTGGTAAAAAAGATATATCATGATTGCAAAATCTGCTTCAGATTTAACGCTAAATCTGAAAAATATTTAATGGGTAATCTCCCAAAGGCTAGAATAACTCCCTCGCGGCCTTTCCTGATTAGTGGAGTTGATTATGCTGGCCCTTTTTTGATTAGGGATCGAAAGGGCAGAAATTTCAAAACTTCAAAGGCTTACATTTCATTATTCATTTGCTTTGCAACTAAAGCTTTGCATTTGGAACTTATCAGCGACCTAACCACCGAATGTTTCGTTGCGGCACTGAATAGGTTCATGTCTCGACGGGGCAAATGTTCACAAATTTATTCTGATCATGGAACGACTTTTGTTGGCGCCAAAAACGAACTTGGTGAATTTTTTAAAGCCAACTCCTCTTTCATGTTTGACAGTTTGGCCAATCAAGGCATTGAATGGAATTTTATACCTCCTCGCGCCCCTCACTTTGGCGGACTGTGGGAGTCCGGTGTAAAATCCGTAAAACACCATTTGAAACGAACAGTCGGCAATTCAACTTTAACCTTTGAGGAATTTATTACAGTCTTGAACCAAATAGAGGCCTGTTTGAATTCCAGACCTCTTTATTCCCTTTCTGATGATCCTAATGACTCCTCTTGTCTAACTCCCGCGCACTTTCTCATTGGAGAACCACTGACATCAACACCACATATCGATCTCTTGGGAATCAAGGAAAATAGACTTTCCAAGTTTCAACATATGCAACAGTTAGTGCAAAAATTTTGGTCTCAATGGTCAAAGGAGTACGTTTCCCAGCTACAAATTCGAACTAAATGGAAGGAGAACTACCCACAACTTTTAAAACCTGGCCTTCTGGTCCTAGTTAAGGAAGATGGCCTTCCTCCGTTAAAGTGGCGAATTGGAAGAATTGAACGTTTGTATCCAGGCTCTGATGGAATAGTGCGCGCTGTGGATGTGAAAACAATGAATGGAAACTTTAAAAGACCAGTTACGAAACTTAGTGTCCTCCCCAACCAATAATAATCATCTTTCTTTTTAAAGCCTACAGGCTTTCAAGGGGGGCGATATGTTTAGTGAACTTGTACCTGGGGTGAACCAGGTTGGTGCGGTTCGAGTGAACGTGTGAAAGCGCCTTTTGGATTTTTGACACCAGACGTCTCGACCGGCTGACACTTGACTTTTCTTGTTTTTTACCGCCTGTTTATTCATTTATAATAATAACGATTGAAGTTAAACTACAAAAAAAAAAAGATTTGATTTTTTTGTTACAATTAAGAATAGCTTTACTTTATCCAATCAGTTCAGTATCTATTAATAATTTAATGTAATAAATAAAAGTATTTTGTTCATTGGCATATTCGCATTTTACGTGAAATTCAAATAAGATTTGCACCATATCTCAAACTGAGGTACACACCAAACACTTGTAGTAGTAGCAAGTACTTCGTTTTTATTCATATACCACCCATTAGATCCTCGAGGAGTACAAATTAGAAGCAGAAGACGTTTGCGTCGCAGAAGATCAGTAATAAGGGTCCAAATTATTTGTGGCACATGGATTGTTATGATAAGCTAAAGCCATATGGAATCTGTATTAGTGGATGTATTGATGGCTTCTCTAGACATATTATGTGGCTTAAAGCTGGTAAAAATAGCAATTGTCCCAAAATCATTGCTGGTCACTATATGAACGTTTTAACGGCAATTGGAGGTTGCCCATTAAGGCTTCGAGCAGATATGGGAACAGAAAACTGTAATGTGGAACAATTGCAGTTATTTTCAAGGCGAAGGCCAGTGGTACATGATATAAACAATCCACTAAGCCCATTTTTATATGGCACAAGTATGGCAAATCAGAGAATTGAAGCATGGTGGGCAATACTAAGGCAACATCAATCCCAATTTTGGATGAATTTATTTCAGCAGCTTAAAGATGACGATTTGTTCAATGGAAGTTTAATAGACAAAGCTCTTATTCAACTATGCTTTTTGAAAATCATTTAGGTAAGCTGATAGGTATTTTTCAACAACTTAAACTCACAATATGTACTTTTAATTTTTGCTTGCAAGATGATTTAGATACCGTCGTAAATGAATGGAATTCGCATAGAATATCAATATATCCAAAAATGCAACAGCATGCAGAGGCCGACCATTTATGTTGTATCATATGCCCGAAGGTTACGATGCAGAAGATTACTTATGTGAAGCTTCAAATGAAGACATCCAAGCATGTAATGAAGAGTGTGTATTTGCAGATAAAAAATGTGTTTGTGATGAAGACAAATATTTATGCTAAATATACTCTTATAGCTTATTTTGTACTGTATTTGCTCCCTACACTAACGTAATATTTATTTTTCGATTATTATGTAATACAAATATGAAATAAAACTCCACTTGAAAAAAAATTACGTTCACTATAAATACACCAAAACTTAAACAAAATGGCTTCATTTCCCTAAAAAATAAAATTATTTCTAAATTTAACTAGTTTTATTTAAACAAAGTCCATGATCCAAACATTTGAATCTAGAATCCCATTAAATTCGGATCTAAACTCAGAAAAGTTTTAATAGCTACTTGAAATTTCTAAAATTTGTCCACAAGTTCGAGCAGTGGGAGTCCTTGAGCATCCTTCGTTATTGTTGAAGGTTACTGATGTCGGTGTGCCTGTTAATATATTTGCTCCGGTACAAAATCTCAAAAAGAGTTTAAGTTTTTGAGGCGAGCTTTCTCGGACAAATTTCTTTAAATATGCAAAAACTCTATCGCAATCCGACGTTTCACCTAAATATGTTAAGGCAGATAAAATGTTTTTGGTGTATGACTCACATCGAATCCATACTGATTTTATTTCTTCCTCTGTCATCAGCCCTGTCAGGATTGGTTTCCAACAGTTAATGATAAAAATTGGTTTTTGGATGATTTCTTTGTGTGCAATGTCAGATATAATTTTTTCCACGTTAGAGCTATCTACAATTGTTTTGCAATCCAGACTTTCCATTATTTCTAGAAACTCGTCTTGACTTGTTCAAAATCGGTTAAAGCTAGGTTTAAAGTGCTCCTTTCGTGGTCGCTAATGCATTGCAGAAAAGATTCTTTTAATTCCACGGAAAATTTACCAAAAATACAAATCTCCATAAATGGCTTGGGAATATCAATTGGAAAATATTGCTGTTGTTTCCATCCAACAAATATTATTTTAGCGACTGATTGCCATTTTTTCGCATCAAAATCATGTCGAATAATTGGAATTTTACTCACAGTACAACGTTCGTAAAATGATGTCCAAAATTCGCTTAAGCAATCCCCAAATACACCGCCAAAATCTTCGGCAAACTCATGCTGGCCATTTGTATTAATCATTGTTATCTGTATTGGACCGCAATCCGTATTTATCGTGGAGAATGCTGCTATTATTTCGTCCATAACATGTCCCCGGTGAAATGTGAGCAATTTAGGAAGTTTACAAAAGGATTGAAGTTCGCTTTCGGCATCATTATCTTCCAAATTAGAAGAAGGCTCGGAAGGTGGTGATAAAATACAATCATCTAAGTTTATAATTTCTATAGGGTTGTAAATATAGTCTTCAAAAACAATATTTTCATAGTTCGATGAAATGTTTCATTCAATCTTCTAAATTTTCCCTATCTGATTGCAAACAGCTTAATTCATCAGAAAGCAACAAAGGATGATCATTTGGATTAGTAGAGGTTGATGTGTTTTGCATGCTTGCTAGATAAAATCTAGTTTACCCATATAATTTTAGTTATAATTTAAATAAATAACCAAATTAAAATAAAATAATTATTTTTAGTACAAATAAGATTAGAAAATAAGAAGCAAAAATTTTGCATTTAGTTTCGACCTAAGCGACATAATTTGCTTACTGCAAACATTTCTTCAACCGTCAAATCCAAAATAATTGAGTTTTGTTGAAAATCCCACAGTTGAAAACTGAATTCTTCCAAACGTCCTTTAGTAGATATACCTTGAGGAAAAAAAAGTTCTTTTGCCTTTTCTATTATAAATTCCTTCTTAGAGTTTTTGGGCACATTTATTTTTCTTGTTCCTCCTCCTTGTTTAGTACGAATTTACACATGTCGATTTCCATTTTCACTGCACATCCATCCAAGTTCAATTTGACGCGTACATTTGTTAGAAAATGTAGGATTTTTTTTTGCCACTTCTTCATCACTGGATTCGCTTTTTGACTGCCTTTCCCTTTTTTTTACTTTGTTTCTCAATCTTTCGAGAAGACTTTGCTTTTTGGACTGCTTATCACTAGCTAACTGCTTTTTGCAAAATTGTACAATAGCAATTCTGTCACCAGCTAGTGGAAAATATTGACTCAGCTGCTCATTCTCCATTTCAGGAATGACCGTAATGTCAATCTGTGGAAAAAAAAAATTATTAAAGACAGCCCAAAAATTAAAATGACCGAGAAAATAACTATAAAATTTTATGTGAAGAGTGTACCACTGAAGCAGAGAGAGAGCATCTACTTATTTACATTGTTTGCAGTTCATACCTACTGTTAGGGCAAGTAAATAAACTTATGTATATTTCTCCAATATATCGTTGCCGTTGACCAGCTGAAAACAAGTGACGGAGAATTTTGTTCGTCGCCAAGGAAATATTGTTTAATTATTGTCACATTGTCAAATTATTAATATATTTTGTAATTTTGTATTGAAAATTCAATTCAACGATCAGTTTCATTTATACAGTCCACTGTTGGAGCTAACATTTTGGTCCTATCGACACGGATACGTTATTGTTTTCTCCAGTCAATTTTCGCAGTCAAGGCGGGGAAGGGCCAAGGCGGTCATTGTTCTATCTGTTCCTGTTGGCATTGGCTCAGTTAAATGGTTCAACCGGGTGACGTTGGTGTAGCAATGACCTTAGGCCAATACAGGGAGTTCCAGTCTGGAATATTAGTCGACAAAGTGTTGTAAGTCCGTTCTATTAATTATTACAGCATAGATAATTGGCAATTCATTTGGTTTTGTGTTGTGTTTGAGATCTGGTAAGTAAGTACTGGAATCATTTATTGCGCAGTTGTTGCCTTTTATATTTTTCAGCTTTGAATATTATGGTTATTATGGCGGATTTACGCAAATTGAAATTGAAAAGAGGTACTCTGAAAGGTAATTTAACTAGAATAAAAGGGTTTCTCGATAAACTTGATTTAGGAAAGCTATCCGAATTAGACTTGATTCAAATCGAAACTCGGCTAGAAAATGTTGAACCTCTTTTATCTGAGTTTAATGATGTCCAGACGGATATAAAGTGTCAATTGTCTTTAGATACAACAGCTGAGGGTGTTGAGGTAGATATAGATGTCATTATTGAATCTCAAAATGTTGAAAGGTTTAATTTTGAAAAAGAATATTTTTCTATTCTCAGTAGAATTAAATCAATTTTGAACAATTCAGGTGTTGACAATCAGTCAGGTAGCGCCGGTAGCGGTGGAGCATCTCGTGCTAGTAATGCTCCACAGCAAGTGAGTCAAAAACCGTCTATAAAGTTGCCTGATCTAAAATTACCTGTTTTTGATGGCTCTTATGGCAAGTGGCTCGAATTTAGAGATGCCTTTCGTGCTATTGTCCATGAGAATGTGCATTTGTCGGACGTGGAGAAGTTCTTCTATTTGAAATCTTTTCTTAGTGAAGAACCATTGCATGCAATTGCTAATTTGCAGGTTACTAATGACAATTATCCCAATGCTTGGACTATCTTGACCGATAGGTATGAAAACAATCGTCTAATTATTTATAATTATATCAAGGATTTGTTTGATTGTCCAAAAGTCATGAAAGAGTCATATACTGAGCTTAGAAAAGTTTACGATATATTCAATAAAAATTTAAGATCTTGGAAAAGCCTTGGTCAGGAAGTTGAGCATTGGGACACACTCATTGTATTCATGCTGACAAATAAATTCTCATAACTCTTCGAGAATGGGAATCCTTTCAGGTAAAAAGTAACGAACTTCCTAGCTTGGAAGACGTTAACAAATTCTTGAAGGCAAGATGCGAGTTATTGGAAAAGTTGGAATCCTCAAAAATGGAAATTAAATCAGAAAAAATTAAATGTCATTTGGCAGCTACGCCACAAAATAAATTTTCTTGTTATTTTTGTAATAAGCCACACTCCATTTATAAATGTTTCGCATTCAGGAATTTGAATGTGCAAGCTCGACTCGCAGCTATAAGTGAATTAAAATTGTGTTTGAATTGTTTTAGTCCAGAACACACAAGCAACTGTTCAAAGTCGAGCTCTTGTCGTCATTGTGGCCAGAAACATAATTCACTATTGCATTCTGAGGAGTATCCGGTGCCCCCGTCAGCTGAACCTGAGAGTGCTGTTGTGTTGAGCGCCATGACTCCGTCCACTGAATCTGGGAAAAATTATAATACAACGTTATCACTGCTAGCCACTGCTAAAATTCGAGTTCTAGGTAGGGACGGAGTGATTTACATTGTTCGAGCCTTACTTGATCCAGGATCGCAGAGCAATTTCATGTCGGAAAGTTTGGTTAACAAACTGGGTCTCCAGAAACATTGCGTTAATTTCAAAATTATTGGAGTAGGTCAAGCGTTGTCAGCTACGGCGAGTTCCAGAGTAGATGTGACTGTCATGTCGAATGTAAATAATGATTTCGAAGAAACTATTCCTTGTTTGGTCATTTCCAAAATAACTCAGAATTTGCCATCGGTGTCCTTTGACATTTCCAAATGGAATATTCCCAAAAATGTAAGTTTAGCTGACGAAGCATTCAATTCACGAGGTAACATCGACATGTTGTTAGGTAATGACGTATTCTTCAGAATACTGCTTATGAAACAAATTCGTTCTACTGGTATGCCAGTTCTTCAAAAGACTAGATTGGGCTGGATTATTGGTGGTAACTTTAATCCGTTATGTGCTTTCAATTCTCAGGACAGGGTAATGGCATGTCTTTCGTTAGAGCAGAAAATAGATCGAGACTTGACAAAATTCTGGGAACTAGAGGAATGTGACTGGAATGTAAAGGTTATGTCTAAGGCCGAAGAATATTGCGAAAGTCATTTTGTCAACAACTTTTCTCGCGATTCTGAAGGTCGTTTTGTTGTCAAATTTCCTATTCTTCTAAATTTTCGAATTTTTCCCTATGTGATCAATGCTGATATTGCGAAGATGTACCGACAAGTCTTGATTAATTCTTCTGAACGTGGATATCAAAGAATTTTATGGAGAAATCCTGACAATCAATTCGCCGACATTGAATGTTTTGAGCTTAACACCGTGACATACGGTTGCGCTTCTTCACCGTTTCTGGCGGTTCGAACTTTGTATCAATTGGGTCTAGAATTTAAAGATAAATATCCTGAAGCAAGCCAGGCTATAATGAAATGTTTTTATCTTGATGACTTATTGACTGGTGCGTTTTCGAAGTCCAAATTGTTGCAACTTCAACACGATATATTTTTGATTCTTAGTACCGCTGGGTTTAAGTTGCGAAAATGGCTTTCGAATCAGCCTGAGCTAATGAACCAATTTGAAGTGGATCAAGATCAATTTTCGAGTATTTTGCATCTAGGTGAGGGCCAACAGAATAAAACATTGGGTATATTTTGGAATGCTACTCAGGATTCAATTCACTATTCTATTAGGGCTTCTGATACGACGGATATAAAAATTTCGAAACGAATTATTTTGTCCATAACCAGTCAAATATTTGACCCACTGGGTTTACTGGGTCCAATTATGGTAGTTGCAAAATTAATTCTACAATGTCTTTGGCGAGAACGGATAACGTGGGACGTACCAGTGTCACAATGTCTTAGAGAAAAATGGCTGATATTTTGTGAGGACTTGAAACTTCTCAATCAAGTAACTATTCCTCGTCATGTACTAGATAATAATTTTAAAATCTTACAAATTCATGCTTTTGCGGACGCATCGGAAAAAGCATACGGTGCTTGTGTTTACATGATTTGTTTGACAGCTTCTGGTGAATATATTTCTTCCAATCTTGTCCTTTCCAAATCTCGTGTGGCCCTGATAAAAACGATAACTCTAGCGCGTTTAGAGCTTTGTGCAGCATATGTTGCTGCTAAATTGGTGAAAAAGGTCAAACAATCAATAGATATTCAAGTTGACAAATATTTCTACTGGACAGATTCATCCATAGCATTATGTTGGATTCAAAGTTGCCCAAGTAGATGGAAAACTTTTGTAGCAAACCGCGTAACAAAAATTCAAAACTTGTCTAACTCTGAGGATTGGTATCATATTCGATCAGAAAACAACCCCGCGGATTGTTTATCCAGAGGAGCCTCTAGTACTTATTTACTAGAGTCAGACTTATGGTGGAAAGCACCCACATTAGTATTTTCCAGTCCCTTAAAAGAAACTCAAAAGGTTGTTGAATTAACCTCAGACATACCTGAACAGAAAGTTCTTAGTCATTCTATAGTTTTGATGGAGGTCTTTGATTTTGATTTTGTCCGATTCTCGTCTCTGCTAAAGTTACAACGAATTATTGCAATATGTTTTCGAGTTTATTTTCGTCTCAAATCTAAGACTGTCTCAGTTGGTA